TTTATTTAAGCTATTATATATTTGAATGAAATCACCCTGTCCTGTATTATTAAAGCAAAAAAAAATCTTCTTTGTGTTCTAATCTTTTGTGAACAGGGAGAAAAAGCAACTTAAACTTTATCAAATTTATCAGTAATTGAATATTTGTTTGCATGTAAATGTTAGAAGCTAACTAATATGTTTTTTTATATCCTATCACTCATTTGATAAGAATACATAGAATATACATCACAAGGATAATATTGATAAACAATGATTGGATAATATATCATTTTAAAATTAATAAATTTATTTCTCTTGTGTTCTTATTTCGGGTCATGTTCAGTACCGTGTTCTGGAAATTATCACACACGATCAAATCTTGATTAATAGTTTTATAATCGTTTGAGTAAATGCAAAATATGTAAAAAAAATTTCTAATTCAAGACACAAGCTAGATATTCTAAGTTTTATATATTTATAGTTAGTTAACATTCACTCTAATATCTAATGATTTATACCATACAAAAAATCAACTTTGTAGGTAAATTACTCATTTATTTAAATATAATCTTTTGCGTTAACTTTTAGGAAATTTTGTATGCAAATGAGGATATTATGTTTAAAAAGATATGTATGTTTTTTAAGATATAAATTATCCGCTGAAATTTTTCCTTCAAAACTCTCACTCTCTCTCTCTCTCTCTATATATATATATATCCGTTCTAGTAAATCCAATCTCAAAAGTGATTTAAAACCTTCTTAAAATAATATTACAAAAAATGTCATATTAATATAAAAGGAATACAAACGAAAAAAATGGTCAAATTTGACAAATTTTCTTAAAAAACTTAATTTTTAAGATTTTGTTAATTATCTATCCACAGTTTCTTTTTGAAATAATTTTCTGAATTTGAAAAACTATGTTACATAGTAAAATTGTTAAACTCACAAGTAAAAAAAAAATTTTAAAAAATAAAATGATACTAATTTTTGTTAAAGAGACTTATTTAATCTTTTGATGTAGATATTTAATTCTTTTAACTTATAATCATTCGTGGACATACTTGAATGCACATTTGTGCAAGTTTTCTATGTGTTACATATAGCACTAATGTATTCAAACTTTAATTATTTGATTAATTTTTTTTCCTAAAGAAAATAAATGAAGTGCAGTTATTTTTTAATTCAAATAACATAATACGTATATTTAAATCTTTTTTTTCATCAACTCAATATCAGTATACAAATGAATCAATTACATTTTTTTACAACTTTATGAAGCCATTCTTTTTTGTATGTACTACAAAACTTTTTATACTTACCTTTCACCAAAATATCTCCTAATTATGAAATTGCGAAAACTAATTGCGTGAAATGTTGAAAAGAAATACATTTTTAAATATAGGAGGTCATATCAATTTAATCTGATCTCTGCAGAAAATATTTATTGACGTATTAGACCATATTAAACGATTTAAAGTAATTTCAAAATTAATCTATACTATTAGTTTACATAACAAACAAGTTTAAAATTATTTTAATTAAAATAGTTAATGATTTTAAGTGAAAAGAAATTACTTTTTTATTCTAATGAAGTCTATTATATATATATATATATATATCACAGATACAAGCAGTTATACCACAATAACTTACTGTATTAAATTAATGTATGTAAATATTCTATGTCGATGGCTTAGATCCAATTGTACGCAATATAGGATACTTCTTAGTGTTACAGTAAGCTAGCTAAGCATCAAAATTGTTTCAAAATTTAATTCGTAAATTGAATAAGGAAGATTGAGACGGATCTATATGTGTCCTATATCTAATCCTCTTGGGAAATCTTTGGGTTACTAATTGAAATTAACCACAACCAACCGTAAGAAGAAACCGTAATATACATATTAGGTCCGTTGTATATAGTCTAGGTTTTCTAGCTAGTTAGATGGCTAGACGGAGTTATATGGAGATTGAGATACAGAGAATCTTACAACTAGGAGATATTGCTACCGATCAGGTTTTAGTATATTTGATAGCGCGTTTCAAAGATTAGATAGTTGAAGTTAGCAATGTGACGAATGGTCACCATAGCTAAATTATAACTCAAATATTTAGAGTAGTGGATTAGTCCCAAAAAAAGGAAAAACAATTTAACAGAATTATTCTCATAATTCACGCTTCTCATGGTTTATTCTCCTATTGCTCTAATTGGGAACATCTCTTCTAGTTTGAATATTAATATTGTGTCTGTTGATAATTTGTGTGGTGAATAAATAGTTGAAAGGTATTATGGCAAGCCATCCTTCACTTCCTCCCACACCTCTAGATGGGGCTGAGAGTAGGTCGTCCCTCATAAGGTTACTTCATTCTTAACATGACTGTAGATCTTGTTTATGAGATTCTTCCACCGTATTTGAATTCTTCTTCGATGAGTTAAATAAACTACTCAAGTGGAATTTTTCTTTTATTTTTAAGATAAAATGTAAAAATTATATTTTCTATGCTCAGAATTTCTAATTATGTTAAATGTATGTCTTGATTTAATTAAGTTCTATATTGGGATTATTCCAAGGAACTAGCATATTCAGATAATTAAATAAATCTGACTTTTACATTTATTTACGTTGCGATATTTTCCCGCCCAGAAGGAAATATAATAAACACAAATTTCTCTCAGCAATTACTTAAATTCAAACACATGCATATGTTAAATGGAAAGTTTTAAAATAAAATATAAATTAATAAAAATATATCCTGAAAAAATTCCATTTCCTTTTTTTCGTGTCTTATCTATGTAACTCCACTATCTTTCAATCAGTCTTAGAATCTGGTTAAAAGCAAAATAAATAAACAAAACAAAAACTCAAGTCTCAAAAAAAGAGTTAAAAATAAAAAAAAAAAATAACAAAGCCAGAAGAAAACATCCACAAAAAGAAAAAAAAGGTAACTTGGGAATTTCCCCAAAAAGAGAAAGATGGAGAAGATTTCTCCTTAAATTTGTTACTCTAATGGAGGGGTGACAACAAATAAGTCTTTAAGAATAAAACATCTGTTTGATCTCTTCTGTGTTTTCCGTTTCCCACTGCATAATTCAATTTTACTTCAAGACATACTATTAGAATATGGTGGATTGAAAAGGGAATGTTTAAGAAAATGGAGAAAGTGAATTATAGTTCCTAATGAGAATTTTATTTATATAAATTATTTAATAAATAGGTAAAGCATTCTCCGAATTTCTTTGTCTACCGTTGCCGTAAGCAATAAAAACTAGTTTCCTATATTCATGCTGTATTTGATGCTACGAAGTGTTGTCTCATCATCTTTCTCAGATGAGAAATATAAAATAACTCTGATAATGCGATGAAATGGGAAACAAGGTAGAAAAAAACTCGTAGTGTTCTTTAGATAATATAATATATTATATTCTTAATTGATTAGTTTCATTCGGCATACACATCAAAAATATATTTTAGTCTCCCTTGTCATCTAAAGCAGGGGTACTCAATCTTTTCTTATGCTGGCCGTATACATATGTTAGCAAATTCACGCGGACTGCATCGTGAGGATAAAAGAGGGGATGTGGAAAATTTATCAAAATATTTTAACTCCTGTTTTGCTTTTTATAATTATTATTCATTGTTTTATTTTTGTCACTAACACTGAAATAAAAATATTTAAGAAACACTCCTTCACAATTTCTGCATCAGTAATCTATTTCATATGATTACCAATAATGAAATAAACTTTATAAGATGTCTTTGTTACCGTTGTGACATTACCACTGACAAAACACTTTGTTGTTGTTGCAAAGATTATTCAAGAAAGCCTATTTTTTATTACCTCTTGAAAGAGATCTTAGAAGAAAAGTGTCATTGAATGATTCCTATTTATTGGTATTTTTTAAATACAGCACTTTCGTGACGAATCATACAATAACTGACCCACGTATGTTTTTCTCTACAAAATAGTCAACCTCTCAATCGTTTTGAAACAACATATCTCCAAATATTTTTCAATTGCAAGATATGAAAGATAAAAATTAGTTCCACCCATAAAAATGTCACTACTCAACCATTACAAGTAGGAAAAGCATATCAATTCACACAATTACGACACTGACAACAAAAAGCAAAAGTGATATATTTGATTTGTTTACAACAAATTTTTAATATAATATTCTTAAATAAGTTAATTTTCAGAGCAATGGGCACTGACCAGGCCACTTAAAAAGGCTCGGTGGGCCGCAGGTTAAGTATCGCTTATCTAGAAAATCTATTTAGGTTTTTCAAAGAAATATTTGTTAAAATTAAATTTAAAATAATAAACTAATCTTATTTTCAATTAATGGATTAACATTTATCTGAGGAAAATTCTGTTGGGAAATATACAACTCTTCGATGACCAATTGAATTGTAAAATATTACTAAAATGCATTTAATATTATTTCACATTTAAACAGAAAATGGGTAAATAACAATTACATTTTTTCATAAAATACATGCGTTCCTTATTAAACAATCCTCTTCTGGAACAATCCTCTCTCTATCATTTAATCTTATTTCACGAAATTTTTAGAGACATTTTTGAATTTAGTGAAGTACAGCTTATTATGTATTCAGTTACTAAAATACAGCATTGTGATAGTTTTTATTTTTTCATCCAATGTACTTCGTAAGTTTGAACCTAGATCTGATGACTAAGATGACATGTTATTTAAGATCAACCTTCAACACTATGTCAGTTTCAGAATTCTGATACTCGACACATTAAATGTTCTACAATTCTTTTTTTACGGCAAGCCTTCATTGGTGTCAGGAGTCGAGCACAAGTTGACAGGAACAGGGTCAGAACTGAGTTCAACGCTTCAACTGAAAATCTCTGGTCAATTCAGAAACAACCAGCGGTATAAGTTTCATTTCCTTTGAATTAAATAATACACATATGTGTAGATGTAAAAGTTTTACACCATTAATTGCACGCAATGGACATCATTGAACTAATAAGCGATTTGCCGCTCCTCCAGTATGGTGGCTATGGCTCTCGGCTTATATCTGAGTGGACTCGGGTTCGAATCCCGAATAAAGAATGGATGAATTTTCTTCGGAAAAAAGTCAGGTTTTTACCTGAAAGAGATTCCCGTCTTGAAAGGAAAACTGCGCACCTCTTCTCTTATATGCTGGGATCATCATTTGTAATTAATGTCTATCTATATTCTTAAGTTAGTATTGTATGTTTCCACTCGTCTTTCATATGTATCCCAGGATAAAAACACACGAAAACAATTTATTGAAATTTAGAATAATTGAAGCATTTTACTTGTTTCATATGTTGTTTCTTTGAAAGAAAACTCACATAATCTTAAGACTTTCCTGTATTACTTTCCTTCACTTTTATTAGGCCGATCTTTCCTTTAGAAAAAGTTCGTTAAAATTAATATTTAAATCAAAATATTATTTTGGAGATTGCAAATATTGTAAAAGTCGTTTCTTAATGATGAAAATCCTCTTTTGAATAAGGAGGATTAAGTTTCACTTGCCGCTTTATAAGGCGAAAGTATAATAAATAAAAAAAAATGACGCATTGATAATTTAAGAAGTGAATTTTGAAACTTTCGGCAAAAAGCATCACATTGTATCTCACATCTTTCATAATAGTATCTTTTGGATTTGATTTAGGTTCTTATTCCTCTGTATTATTTAAAATTTAAAAAAAAAACACATATTTATACTAAAATCAAGCTTTGGTGAAGGTGTGAAGTTATATATTTTCCATTGAGCACCATGTTCTTTCTTATAAAAATTCGATTTTTTGCTTAAAATTTCTTTTTTTACATTAATTTCAAGCTTTAGCTCATTTAAGAATCAAAAATTATCCGTTAGAAAATATTTTTTACATTTTATTTTAGAGGATACATTTAGCAATAGTTTATTTTATATTACATAGTTGAAAATAATATATTTTTTGGCTTTTTTTGTACTTTTAACAATGTTAAGGAAACCATCAGAGTCATTTTTATGCAAATTTTAAACACTTTTAAACACACATTTTATAATCATTTTTTAAAATTTTTATATTCCTTATATTTAATTTTTTTTGCAAATAAATTTACCTAAATATGTTTTATATAATTTTCATTGAACTTTATAATTATGGTTTAAAGTTTTTCGTTTCTTTCTTCTGTTTTGAATTCATTTCAGTGATAAGCATATCAAATGTTTCAACATTTACCGAAAAAAACTACATATTTTAATATGAAAAAAACACCACTCATCCCGTATACAGAATGATGCAACTGAACTGTTCATGAGTCTAAGGCGAAGGATAATTTGATACACACACAAAAACGGAAACTTCTATTACTGTTCAACCTTGCGATAAAAAAGGGAATAAAAATATGCTTGTTTTCTACTTTAATAGTATGCAGTTTTGTTTGAAGCTGATAATATTTTACATAATTAATATTATCAGCTCATCTCGCAATTAGAATAAAATTTCTATTTAACTGAATGCTCGGATAATCTACGCTCATCTTTTAAACTAAGCTTCTTCATTCGAGTAAATACCCATCAATTCCTGGTACATTTCCGAAGCTGTAATCTTTTTCATTTTGAATATAATTAGCTATCATAAACCTAAAAGCAATAATTATAATTATTATCACTACTACGCATTTCTTCCAATTATATTACACAGTATATTTAAAGAGTTTTATTTATTTCAGAAAGTAAGAGAGGTTGAAGATGTTATATAAACAATCAAACTCTTGGGATGTGTGCATTAATCATAGAATAAATTGTTTTGAAAAATTTTGAATTATGTTGCAATGGTATTTCACCTGGTAAAAAATCCAAGAATTCATGTATAGTAATTTGAATGATTGAATCGACACAGATATTTATGTGTTCGAAAAAATTAACAACGGCAATTGATAGAAAAAATATGGGTTAGAAAGGAGTTAAGGTAGTTCAAATGTAAATTTGAGTAGTAAAAACGACCAGTGCAGCTCAATTAAAAATATGAGCTTATCATGAGAATCCTTTGAAGAAGATGCGTAAAAGAGCAATTTTTTTCTATAATTGGAAATAACACATCATTTTTTAGTTTCTGCTAGTTTTAATGAATGTTCAATTAATTTTCTTTGTGCGTTACGTATGGAAATTCTATCAAGATCATCGGTAGGCTTACACACACATACACACACAAACATTATTCTCATGCTATAATGTTTTTAAATATAAATTAAACACACATGCATGCAATTAAAATATTTTACGAATATTGACATCAAATCCTTTAAAGACGGGAACACTTTGGTGTTTTATTAAAAATTATATGCCTCGGGCACAATTGTAAAATTAACAAAGGAATAATAAAAAAAAATTAAAATAAAATTAAGAAAAGAAATCTTCAGACTTATATGCTGTTTAAAACAAGAAACATATGATCCATATGATTCTTATAAAATCACAGTGGAAAATAAGATGGAAAAATCTGTTTATTTTTTGCTGGAAAGGGAAAATCAATGGGGAAAAATTAAGCGCACAGATAACAGCTAGAAATTTTCAGCGCAAATAAAAAAATATTAAAAATTCCATGATTTCCTTGTTGAGTAATTCTTTTTTGATGCAAAGACCGCACATTTTATTTCGGTAAACGTTCGCGAGCCATTCAAGGAAGGTCTCTTTTCCACGTAAATAGGGATGCAGAAAAAGAAAAGAAATGCCAATACTGTCAGGGTGCTGAAGAAGAGGGATAAAGTATTTGTAGTAAATCAAGTGATTCATTTATGGGCATCCGTGCTTTGAATGCAATGACTCCGAAGTAACGCGATATCGTCTTATATTGATCTGGGCTTGGGACAAACAGTATATCAGAATCCTTTTCTCTCATTCCCTTCTTTTATTCAACTGTGAATTTTAGGATGGTCAATAGATTTTCTTCCTTGTGTGTTTCTTTAAGGTCAATTTGTTCTCCTCACAAACGATCTGTAATTGTCCAAACTGATGCTGACTCTATTGAACCATATTTTTCATTTATAAAAATTATTTGTTATGTGACTGACGAAATTATATTTATGTATCCTGTAGTACCTAGTTTTGTGTGGTTCTTTCTTATGCGAATTTTTTATGTTGTATGTGAATTTCAAGGGTTTTAGCGTCACTGAATATTTTATATCAATTTACCAATGGTGTGGAGAATATTAGGGCCTCACTGAAAAGTCAGGTTTTGCCTTCAATATTTTATAAATTGGGTAAATACGTACTGGCATTACTCAAACTTTGTACCTCCAGTGTCCTAGACCCACCCCTCCACTGGACGCGGGTTTCGAGGGTGTACGTTACGCCACTGAAGTGTACATATTTACATTTCAAGACGCTCTGTTCATTTGTTATAAACAGTTTATCAACAATGTACGTTCAGTCGCTTTCTGTCAACGTGGCAACAGATTGCGCTTGATTGAAGACGAAACTTTCAATGGCAGTAATATTATCAATAATTTAAAAGATTACGAATACGTACAAGAGGAACCGTATTCTTTGAGAATTGATAAAATATGTACCGGGATGCAGGTGTCCAACAAGTTAAAAACGCATTTCTTAAAATGGATAGCAATTCTGAATGGAGTGTAAAATTTCACAAAAGTAGCTTCGATCATGCATATTTGGTTATCGTGACATTTAGAAGCAACTGACAAACCAACCTTTGTCGCAGAAATTTATCTCTTGCTTTATGGTGCCAGAAAAATAAATAAATCAAAATTGTATCTTCAAGTAATAAAAGCGATTTAGAACTCATTCATCGCAGGATCGCTTTTGGATTACGATGAGTAGCAATGAATTTGAAAACTTCTCCATCTATACAATGAGAAACGAAATGCTTTTAAAATGTTTTCATGTGTAATTGAATTATTTATTGTGTTATGGAAGTATTTTCTCATAAATTTCGGTGATATTTGGTAGATTTTCTAAGAACGACTTTTTTATGCGGTCCCTCTCAACCGCATAAGAAATTTAGTATTTCGAAGAAGTTGTTTGTTATATGTAAAAATTTATGAAATTTCCAAATATTTTTTATGTGGATTTTTCTGATGCGCAAATTCATTTCTTTTCAGCACAAAAACAGGTTTTACTGTAATTTGAAATAATGATTTTCATGTGATAGTTTTATTGCAATGATTTAAAAACTACCTAAAATTTCCCCAGTTTTGGAGAATCGGAATACCTTATTTTTTTATTGTTATTCGTGCATAACTTCCCTAATGTTCATTTATTTTGGAGTCATTGTTTTTCTTTCTCAGCGACAATGCAATCAACCAAAGCCAGAAAGATACAAGCTCTTTGAGATAACAACTTTCTGTGAAGATGGGAACATTAGCTACGTGATCTCGGAAACTATTTTTAGTTAGTTTTAGTTATTCTGTTACGCTATTCCTGAATTGCTGTTCCACTATTTATTTACATTAGAAATTGTATTGATTATTGCAGGTCATATGTATAAAGATTAACAATTCTAGGTATGAATTTTATAGCAGACATTACAAATATTGCGAGACAACCCATGAACAAATCCTCTACTATAAATATACAAAATATTACATTATGTTTCAAATTATAATCAAGAAAGTTATTTAATTATATTTCAAACATCTAAATTCTTGCAAAACATAAGCATTCATTTATTATTTTTACTATGATATATCAATACTTATATCGATGACTTATACTACCTTTTGAATTTTCATTATAGTTATTCTTACAATTTTGTATCAAAGTGAAAAACATCTTCTATAACTCTACATGTTTACTGTATTTTAATATTACATTAACGAATAAGAGAAATGCTTTTAGAATGTCTCATATAGCACACATTTCTCTAATTTGATTATTTTTTAATAATATATAGTTTGTGTTTTGAAACATAAAACGATTACATCCAATATACTGTTGTTTAAATTGTTAACTTTTAAAAGTGTTTATAGCAGAGTATTAGAACATATGGATAATTATTGAGTGACATATTTCTAAGAAAATGTATGATTCACAAAATATCAAAGGAAAATAATACGGAATGCATGATTTGAAGTTATTATTATC